ATGACCCTCAATTGGATAAATGGAAGAAAATGGATGGATCGAGCGATATCTCACAGTTATTACTATTATTAGACTAATCAAGCCAGTATAGCCCTGTAATAGACTAGCAACCTGTACAGGGCGTATCCAACCTCTTGCTTAACTAAACCACACTCACACCTAGCTCACACTACTGAAATTCATTATTATTAGGTTGGCCTTAAAACTATCTGAAAAGCTTCCAGTTGATCCAAAGTATTGCAACCAGAGTACTGACAGGAACTAGGAAGAGATAGCATGTTTCTCCCATATTGGTCTTGATGCATGCTCAGTCGTCCAGGTAAGCAAATCCCTGAAATTTGACTCTGTCCAACTGGTGGGAGTGGGTCTCCCACTAAAAATGCTAACTCCAGTTGAACAGAATGAACTTTCCAGGTTCTCCCATATTGGCTTCTCCTCAGTGGCTCCCTGTTAAATCCAGAATCAAATTTAAAATCCTATTTATTTATTAGTACAGTATGACTCATAAGTGTGTGACTACATGCCCCGCCTCCACACACACACACACACATTGTTAACATTATTACAAGTGCAGTGTGTTAATCAGATGTGAGAATTTAGTTGGTCAAGACTCAGATCAGGAATCTAACTGACCTACTTTTGATGATGGACACAAACTGGATCAACACTATAAATGCTGGATTTGAAACAGGAAGGTGCTGACATTGTTGGAAAGCTTGAAATCCCAGAAAAGCAAAGCTCTCCGCTTAACTGTTTCTATTTTTATTTTTATGCTTTGTTATGAACGGCAGTAGCTATTTCTATTTTTAAAATATCTCTAAGACTGAATAAATCAACAATAAAGGTTAACCGGGGCCAGTGGCACCAGTTCAAAGGCCTGATTGGCAGGTCTGGCAGTGCTTTGGCATTGACTGGTGAGCTGCAACTGGCAGCTTCACTTTCAGATAGTTTGGTGCAGTTGGGTTTTATAACACAAGGGGAATATTATACAAATTGATCAAGAGATGAAGCAGACAGACTCTTATTTTAACAATTTTATTCTTCCCATTAAGCGAAGCATCTTATAGGTTTTTAGACTCTATTTACATTTATTCAAAGTGCCTGAATTATAAATAGTTTTGTTTACATTATTTGTTCCTCATTGTGTCATTAAAAAAGTGAACAACACGGAGCGAAAACAGAGCGAGCAGCTGCTACTGTCCCCCCCTTCTCTCTTCTCTTGCTGCTCTGAACAATAAACATTTAGAAATGGCTTACTGAGGTCAGCACATTGTCCAGACTCTCTGTCTATGTGTGCGTGTGTGTGTGTGCGTGCACGCCTGTGTGTGTGTGTGTGTGTGTGTGTGTGTGTGTGTGTGTGTGTGTGTGTGTGCATTCATGTGGATGCCCATGTAATTTCCTGATTAAGCTTATAACAGAGCAAAAGCAAGATACATGTGCACTTTTTACACATAATACCACAGTAGGTCCATTTCTGTGAACTTATTTCTGATCAGAGTTGATTTATTGAGGTCTGAATGTAAGATGGGACAGGGATATATGAACATGTGTGCGTGTGTTTCTGCTGATGATAGCAGCAGCAGCAGCAGCGCAGACTTGACAAAGAGACGAGCAAACTCAGCAGGCTGATGTGAAGAGCCTGCCGTGTCCATATAGTCGACTCTGTGTCACATGCACAGATATCAAAACCTCAGTAGAGCCTTCAGTAGACTCTGAAACCACCTGCTGTCAGCTGTCAAAGACCCACACTTAACAGCCCCACAAAAAGCCTGCATATTGAGTGCTAATTACAAAGAAGGAAGCAAACACCTACAAATCTCCTCTGATATTTCTTGAGTGAAAAGTTTTGCCTAGAACATATTTTTCCAAGCTGGGCTTTTTCCAAGTATGAAATCTGGATATTTTAGATTGGAAGTCATTTTATTCCACTCACCTGAATCTTAAAAAATAAAAACCTGTAACAGAAATTGTCTCTGCAGTGAATCCTGACTGCCTCTAGGGTGCAACATTTCCATATAAACTCTGAGTTTAAAGGCCTTTTTAATATTAACTTAAAGAATGGTCACAATATTAACAACCCATCACAGTGCACGTGCACAAACTGACTCAGGCTCTTCCTGGATCAGGAATCTTTTATACTCTAGTCTCTCTGCTGGCATTTTTGCTGCTGTTGTTGTTATTGTGAATGCTGCTAAACTGCCGTTACGGTTGGTTTGGCACCGTTATCGTCACACACAGAGTCACTGCAGAGCTGTGATGGATAGTCATGTGTGACTGAGATCTCCAGTGAGTCATGCAGAGACTTTACATGAATCAGTAGAGAGTGAAAGGAAGACAGAAATAGGATTAAACCCACCCAAGAATGATTTCATTTTTGCCGTTCAAACATCTGAAAACATCTGTTGTTGTTGTTTTTAACAGTAAAGTTCTGAGAAATTACAGCACATTAGAGCCACATTTTATGTTAAAATGTAGTACGCTTAATCAATGTGAGGAGAATTATTTAGGTCAAATTGCAAGACATACAGAGCTGGAATAAGTAGATGCATCATTTCTTAAATAAAACCATAAAAAGCATGCTATTAAAATATTCTTGCAAAAGTTTTTTATATACATAACAGAACTAAAGTAGCAGAATCCCATTGTTGTGTTGAGATGAAAGCAGGCATTTGTTATATACTGATATTTTCAGTTGTGAAAGAAATACTAAGTATCATCTTTGAATAGAAAGATCTATAGTTCCTCAGCATGTCATCACATGTTGGGTCAGGGGGTTTCTTTTGCAGCTAATGTTAGCTACTTTTCATCAAAACGCTTTGTTGTGAAGAGTGAACTATCTTCTTAACTGCTTTGCACAATGGAAACAGATCATGGTCCTTCAAGATGCCCTATCTTTCACACAGTGCAGCAGCTCATTTTGTGTTTTCTTCATCCAGACTGATGGTTTTTCGTCTGCTGCTTCTTTTCCCTTCAAATTTTTCCAGATGTAATATCACATTCCAGTCCTCCTGTTCTCATAGTGCGTCCAAAGAATCTTGCTTCTCTTGCTTGTCTCTGATGTTCTTACATAGCGATCTTTTGGTGTTTGCTCTTTTAAAGACTTCTTCGTTAGTCAGTTCAGGTCTATGATATTCACGTCTTTGCTGCATTGATAGCTTCAATAGCTATCTAGTTCATTGTCCATGCTTTGCTTCCATGTGTAGGCATCTTCGACTCTTTCTTGTGTTGAAGCAAATTTGTCAGTTAAATTAAATGTTTGCTAGCTTAGATTCACTTCAGTTTTATTTATATAGCACCAAATCACAACAGTATTCACTTTAAGGTGTTCTATATATTAAGGTAAATACCCTACAATTATACAGAGAAACCCCAACAATAAGATGAGCAAGCAAAAAAGTAAGCAAGCACTTGGCGACAGTGTGAAGGAAAAACTCAGTTTTACCAGGATGCTATTGCAACCGGACCTTGATTTCATGCAACGATCTTTCATCACTACTCACAGCAGTGCCCAAATACTTGAATTTGTTGACTTGTTGTAGGCTGGGATTCTTCGATTTCTTTCCTTTTTAAAGAAAATTCAATCAAAGTCCATCTTTAAAACTGCATTATTGTACCTACATTTTAATCAGCCCAGTCCTTTCTTTTTTAATGCCAATGATGCTTTTTAGCAGGATAAAAAAAACGATATATATGAAACCTACTTTGCCACAAAATGATTGCACCTTATTCTTTGTAAGGGTATTGTTTGTGGGTCAAAATGACGACATATCATTCATGAGAGATACGTTTCACAGATTATATATTTGGCAGTGACTTCGGCTGTTGGTTTTAATTTATCAAAAATCAAATCAAAAATCTGCATTGAAAAGTTAACAGCGAGCGTGTGTCTGCTGCAAATAAAGGTTAAAAAAAAGTGTGAGAGCATAATATGGAAAGGTTTGTTCTTAATTGGCGTACTTTATTTACAAGCGGCATGCAAGCGAAAAATAAAAACAATAATGCATTGCACTCCAGAAATTGATAAAAAAAAAAATAATTTTAATTTATTTGTGTTATTTTTGGTGAATATTGAGGCAAATTAGTTACTCTGGCAATTAGCCATTTCCTGCAAAGCAGCAGTCAAACACAGGCCTGCTGTTCGGTTAATATCTCCCCTGCGCCATCAACAAATAATCACCTCACTAGCTGCAAATATTTTTTGTTTTTTATCAATCAGCTGTTTGTTACGCTGATTGCCGCGCGCAAAGCTCGGTTGTAGCGCAGACTGTGCGCAGAAGCACGAGCCGGTCTCTGCGCCACTGAGACGCTCTCCCTCCCCTCCTCCTCCACCTCGTCAACGGCAACAGCCATCTGCCGCCTCTTTTAATTTCAAACCCAGCAGATTTCCCCACAAACGTCCAGCTTCACTTGACAGAACACAAACTGCGTTTGACGCTGTGGAGGACAGCTCGCTCTCCGCACGTATTGCGCTGGAGCAGGAAGAGAGCCGGGGCACATTTCGCACACGAGACTCCGTCTGCGGAGACAGGCTGTGGGAAAGACGAAGCGGATTTGAATTAAGCACCGGATAACAGGCAGCAACTCTGCATCCTTCGGTGAGGGAGGGAGAGGAGGGAGGCAACTGTTTTGTAGCTATCTTGGAAGCCCTGGGTTAGGAGAGGGGGGAGGAGGAGCGGAGAATGAGCTATTCTTGCACCAGCAGAGGCAACAGCCAGGACCCGTCAAGCGCTAAGAAGCCCGCCGGTAGTAATCCAGCCAGAGACGCCGGAGGCACCGACAGCGGCACAGACAGCACCAGTAACGGCAGCCCCAAGCAGACGGCGGCGATGAAAGTGAAGAAAGGCTGCAACTCGACCGACGTGGGGGTCCCGGTGACCACCGAGGAGCAACTGCTCGCCAGCACTGTGATCACTCCGGAGGATGTTCTTGGCTTGCAGAAGATCACAGAGAGTAAGTTCAGTGCTGTTGCTGTTGCTGCTGCTGCTGCTTGTGTTGGTAGGTGAGTGGGAAAAGGGGGACAAAGGTGCTCTTGTATGAGTCATGCATCACGTCATTATCGTGTCCCCTTATTTATGTAATCCATACAGGCCCTATTGAATAAGCGTTATTGATAAAGCGTCACTGGAGGTCCACTCTCCACTGAGCTGCTGTGTACGTTTTTTGACGATTTGTGCGCAGAGGAGCATTCAGCTCTCTCTGATGGCATCTCAGTCCTGCGACCTGTGGAGGTGCAAGCCCACCACTGTAATGTGGAGGTTAAGCAGTCGAGGTGGGTGAATGATGTGGTGCATGCAGACAGCGTGCAAGTGAAGATGTTGAACCGGGATCAAAAGAAAGACTGGACGACCCACTCTGCATTTTAATCTCTGTTAAATTAAGCAGGGCGTCTTAGCTGGAGACGTTTGGGTGACCCAGGGGTCATCATTCGAAGCAGTCTGTGTGGTTCCTCTGCTTCAGTAACCATGTAAATAAAACAGGAGACAAAGAAAAAATATCCCATGCCAGTGTACAAGTTGCAAAATGTAAATATGCTCTAACAAACAAGCTTAAAAAGAAGTATGAAAACTATATAAATACACTTGTTATAATAAGCTATCCCTATTGCTACCACTGTAATAAGCGTGTGCAGGCAGTATTTTGCTGTTTAAGCTGAAGCCAGTTTATAAATGCAGGAAACATCATGATCGACCCTGTGTAGTCACATTCGCCTACTGTTAGATGTTAGTCTCTTTAGGTACTTTTAAACTCATGTGCTTGTTCCTTTTCATAACCTTCTGATGAGAAATATGCTTATGACATTAGCCTATTATTTAATGCATCTGTTTTTTTTTTAATTATGTCCCACCTCTAAACATCCGAGAAGCAGGCAGGAAGCTCTTATGTTCACAAGAACTCCTACATTTATCACTAACTCGGGTTTTAGTTAGCTAACAGGTGGCAGCGGGACGTTTGACTATTTAAAGGCCAGTGTAATACCTCACTTACACAACATACTTGCATTACATGCTGAGTGTGATAACATGCAAATGCTCCGTGGGATGTTTTCACTGCTATTTTGAAACTTGCATGGGGATTTTTAGGCTCACCTCTGCATGTTCAGTTCTTCTCTATTTCTCTGAAAGCTTACATGAGCAGCCCAACATTTCACATGCACCCGTGAGATGCCACAAGCAATACAGTGAGCGCTTGTCATTCCACTTCTCTCAAAAATATTCCTACAGTGGAGGAACCTCCACCTGTCTTCTTTCCCTGCTTTACTTTTCCTTATTTTCTTGTTTCGCACGAGATTAACAGAGGACGATAAAGCTGTAATGATGAATGGGTCTTTGCTTGTCCAATCCAATATAATCACAGCTTACTGAGCTTCGGGAACATCCTTTGGCTCATCTTGCTCACAGCCATCGAAAACTCTAGTAGTTTCTCTAATTGTACATTATGCAGTCTATTATTAGACACACACTAGGGTAATTTCAGCTTTCTTTTGACTTCATCGAGAACACGTGTGCGCATCTTTGTGTTTTTAATCGGCAAGTCTGTGATCCCATAAGTGAGTGTGTGATGTCTTGCTGCACAGGGACACGTAGGCGAGCACCATAATGATTCTGACTCCCACGCCGGACCCCGTTATGGTCTTGGAAACTCACTTTCCTATCTCGCAGCGTCATAGCTGGAGGCAAGAGGAGGCATGTGTGAATCACCACAGCAACGTGGATACACGCTTGAGTCACTACAGCAACGTGAAGCATCTCCCCTTGGTTACAGCCAGCGGAGCGTGCATCATCTCTGTTCTCCCACACACTTCCTCCTTGCTCTCCTCGCCTCCTCTCCCATGTTAAACAGTGTAGGTGATGGATTGTACGGACAGAATCGGATATGCGTACACTCACGCTTGCTTGGCCTCGTTTTTGGTGGTCAAACCAAGCAGGAGACATCCTGTGCTCTCCTGAGATGTCAGTGCCACCGAGGCCCTTCTGTTGTTTTGTGACTTGTCACTATTTTTTTCTGCTGCTGCAGATTGTTAGTGGCTGAAATTGAGTCCCTCTCTAAGTGGCATGGCAAACCAGCACAGCCAGATTTAACAACAGTCTTGAGTTAAAGAGGTTTTTGTTGTTCTTGTTGTTATTGAGTGGTTTGAACCTGTTTGGAGCTCTGACATCCCACGAGGGGAAACTTCAGTTTGTAGCTTTTTTTTTGCAGCGTAAAGATGTCACTAATCGTTTTGCCCTCCATTCATAATCAAAGCAAGCTGCTGAGACTGATTGGGATTTGCATAGACAGAACGGGCTTTCTACCCAGTTGACTGATTTGATCCTGATTTTGTTCTTAACCGAATCCTAAACTTAATCCGTCGAGTCAGCATGGAGCCTCAGAGTGGCAAGAAAGCCCCCCCTGCTGACACTGTGATTGTGTTTTGTCTCATGGGGAAGCAGCTAACTGCTATTTCTGTTGTTTTGTTTAGCTCTGAAATAAAATTGAAAAAACACATCATTTTGCAGCAAACATACTGAAAAACTGCCCAGTATTCTCTTTCCCAGCTTCTTATATGAGAGGATTTGCTGCATTTCTTTGTATATCATTGGGAATCAAAATGCTGTATTTCTTAATTATTACTTTTGCAGTGTAAAAAAAAAGGAGAGAGAATATACATTCCTTAAATTGTCAGTTATTAAGTGATGAAAGTTCTTATTGGAACTTAATAAGAAGTTAATAAGTTCTATAAAATGTTGCAGCCACCAACATACATAACTGGTCTCTGTATTTCAACACTTTAATGTTAACATTTAGCCTCCTTCTTGGGTTTTTAGAGGGAGGCTTTTCATGAGAGGGTGACATGCTAAATTACGGTGCAATGCCAGCAATCAAGATCCATAAAGTTACTGGGAGTAATGCACAAACAGACTCATTCAAATTAGAAATAATCTCACTGAAACTGAAGCACATGCATCTTAGATTGGCCACACCTCACACCAGGATATTGTAATGTAAAGATGTTTCTCTTAAAAGTGCAACAACAGTTTGAACACACTTTATTTCAGTGGCTCAGTGAGTGACTGTCAGCGAGGGGAGGCCTTGCTAGAGGCACATCTGTTGATCAAAGTGGGCACATATCAAACTTTAAGCTTCAGCAAAATCCAAACATCTACATGTATCACCAACATGTAGTTGTTATGAATGGGGACAAATTGCTATAAATGTGAACACGTTATTGCTGTAGGTGGGGCATTTTAACCTAGGTGTCTGTGAGGACTGACTGGCTTTTAAGGCCTCAAGTGGCCATTGGAGAAACTGCAGTTTTTGGCACTTCTGTGAGGACACTGCATACAAAAAAACAGTTTATCAAAGTAACCCAGAACCCAAAGTCACAAAGAAAGGCAGCGAGTTGTTATTACACAGAAGCAGCAACTGCATAACGTCACAGTTTATTAAACCTAGTACACACCCATGCCATGTCTGTGGTTGCCAGGCAACACAGATAGTGTCACACATAAAGAAAGTTTTGTGGCTTTAAATTAGATGTTGTTGTCCTAAAATGAAAATTGTGCTTTTGTAATGTGTTATAGGTGCATTAATGCTACAAGTGCAACCACATATTAACAGGCTAATGTTATTATGTGGTTGCTAGGCGATACAGTTATGTCAAATACTTCACACGCATTGAAAGTTTTGTGTATATAAAGAAGTTGTTACTGTTGTGAAATTAAAAAGACAATGGTTTTAAAGAAGTTGAAGGTGCATAAACTTTGGTTGCTAGACAACCACCATATATGATATAGATAAGAACCCTCAGAGGCCTAAGGTATATCTGCTGTATTTTTCCAACATAATTAAGTGTTTGTTGATACAATTATTGAAACTTCACACTAATTGTTTTGGCTGTTACAAAAGTATTAAACTTTGAGTTTTAAGTTTATGGACTGCTTCAGTTTGGTGAGTGCAAACAATGTTGTGGAAAAACTTCCTAAATAGCTGCAGAAATGTCTTCACTTATTTTAATTTCTTTTTGGTTATTAGATGACGTGGATGATACTAAACAACATAAACCAGTCATGCCGACTGGAGTGAGTATTTGCTTTGAGTTTAGCAGTGGCAGTGTGACCGTGCAGAGCATTAGTTCGGTGCGGATAAGCTTGTTTTAGCTGATTGGCATCAGCTGTTTCACATTTGGGCAGCTCAATAACACAGGCATTAAAACACTGACACCATTGTTACTCCGATGATTATACTCCTGTAAACAGCGTCCGTTACCTCAGCGCTCCACACCCAGCCTCCTCAGTATTTACTGATAGTTTACAGAGTGGATTTAATGCTCATACACATGTTATTAAAGGGGGTTAGCAAATACTCAGGTGCTGCTTGGAGTCTTTGTGAACTTCCTCAAAGGCTTTTCTGCCCCCCAATTTTTTTGATAACAACCACAAGAATATATTTTTAATGACTCTACAGGACTAGAATCATAACTTTAGTAAGAAAACAGTCTATTGTGCTGCTTCTAACGTTCTGTTTCCAGCTTCTCAGATGGGATGATTTTGCTGCTTGACTTTATCATATTATAGTAAATTGAGCATTTGAGAATTTTGGTCTGATGGAAAAACAAAATAAGAAGCTTGTTCTGATCAAACAGCCAATTAAAAAAGTGATCTGCATAGGAAAGATTGGGTGATTTGGCTTATAGTGCATCATTGTGGTTAATAATTACTCATCTATTTCCTAATAAATCATAAAAAGAATTTAAACGCCTGTGGCTGGATTTCAATTCTTTGTGCATGTTGGGACTAATGTACATATAAGTTCTTTTTAAGGGTGGCACAGTCGGGTGGTGGTTAGCAACATATCCTCACAACAAGCAGGTCCTGGGTTTGATTCCAGTGACTGGCTTGGGTGAAGTTTGCATGCTCGCTACGTTCTGCCGGGGCTTCAGCTTCCTACCCCAGTCCAAAGGCGTGCATGTT